TGTTGTCCTTCTGCAGCAGCCACTTGATGGTGGCCTGGGGTGAGCGGGGCTGGCACTCCAGGAAGGCGGTGCTGCCCTCCACCCCATACTGCACGGCCTCCACCGCGTTCTTGTTAGCTGGGGGTGGGGCATGGGCAGTTGGGTCACACGCACACCTCCGCGCCCCTGCCCCGCTGCCCTCCTGCCCAGCCAACCTGCTCTCCAAGCTTGCCTCCAGCCACAGGTCTGCCTCCTCCCCAGCCACCCAGTAAGCATGCTCCTCCTCCCCTGGTGTTGACATGTTTCTACAAGGGTGTCCATCCATCCATCCATCCATCCACCCATCCATCATTCCATCCATCCACCCACCCATGTTCATCTTCCTCTGAAGCATCCGTCCATCCACCCATCAATTTGAGGTTATCTTTCTCCCACTGTATCCATCCATCCCTCTATCCACCCATCCAAATCTGCTCATTCTCCTCCCCAACATAACCATCTAGCCATCCTTGTTCCATCTCCAATGTGTCCATCTATGCACATCCCCAATGTGTCCATCCATCCATCCATCCCTCCATCCATCCATCCATCCACCAACTCATTAATCAGTTTTTATCCTCATCCCCAATGTGTCCATCCACCTATGTTCATCCCCCTCCCCAATGTATCAATTTTTTTATCCATCCATCCATCCACCCACCCACCCATCCATCCATCTCTGCTCACTCTTCCCATATATCCACCCACACAACCATCAACCCACCAGCGCATCCATCCACCCACATCCCCCTCTGGCTGTTGCCCACCTCCTCCTGCCCCCCGCTCTCAGCACACCCCTCGCTGTCCCCCGCGCTGTGGGGCTGTGCCCAGCCCTTCCTCACCGTTGGAGTTGTAGCCCCGGCACTGGCGGATGGGGTTGCCATGCCGCACGTCCTGCCGCCGGCTCCGCCTGTAGGGAGGCGGGAGGTGAGTGGGGGAGCCTGGGGTCAGGGAGTCCGCCCCTGCTGCTGTCCCCAAGCCCCCCGTACCTCTTGGAGGAGGCAGAGTAGCGGGTGCAGGCGTTGCCGTCCCAGGCGCAGTATGGGTCCCGCGCCAGGCAGCAGTCGGCACACGCTTCCCCATATACGTCACAGCGGTGCAGGGCCAGGTGGGTGACACCCACGGCTGAGGACACGTACAGCTGTTGCTGTGGGGGGGACAAAGGGGACAGGGTGAGATGTCATCCCATCCCCACCCTGCAAGGACCCCCCAGAGTGAGCTGCAGCCTCCGGTACTGGAGCTGGCCAAGACACCAGAGGCAGCCAGTGCGCACCAGGGCCACCCGACTACCCTGGGTCCTCCCTCATGCCTACCGCCCTGGTGCTGCAGTGACACCAGGCAGTGCCACAGCCGGGCCTGTGATGAGACCTGCCCGGGCCCCTGCCGTGACTCACCCTCTTGGAGGAGATGGTCATTGTCTTGATGGGTGCCGGCACCTAGACGGGAGCAGGAGTGAAGGAGATGGAGGGGTGAGTGCTGGCCTGACGTTATAGCCCCAGGGTGGGACCCCAGACCCTTCCCAGCAGCTGGGACAGGCAGGGGTGGGCAGGGGGACCTGCAAGGGGGCAGCAAGCAGGAGGACCAATGCTCGAGGTCCCTCCAGAGCTGGCCAAGGGACTGGCTGGTGTCCTAGGGACTGGTTGATGTCCCAAACGGCTGGCCGATGTCCCAAGGGGCAGACTGGTGTCCCAAGGGGCTGGCTGGGTCAAGGACACTCAGCGGAGGATGGAGGACAGGACAACCCTTACCTTGAACACCTCAATTTCTTCCAGCATGAGCTCCTCCGTCTCCATGTCGTCTCGGGGGAGCACGATGACCTTCTGCACAGTGCCCCGATCTGCAAGATACCACGGTGCCCGGGCGCTCAGTGCCACCCCTGGGCACCCGCACCTTCCCCTCCTGGGAAGGGGGTTCCTGCTGGGGCTGGGGGGTCAAGGACCCCTCCAAGCCCATCCCCATCTCTCTCCTGCTGCCATGTGCAGCTGTGCCTGGGGTGCAGCATATCAGCTCAGGTCACCATCCATGGCTAAGGACTGCCACCACCCAGGGCAGGGTGGGAACAGCAGCTGGGGATGGGCACCACTGGGCAAGGGAAGGACCAGGATGGCTCTAGGACATGTGTCAGAGCAAGGGAAGCACCAGACTGAGGAACAGGGGCCCCAGGATGGGCACAGAGGCTGGGAAAGGAGAGGGCAGGAAGCTGGTGGCTCTGGGATGGGCAGTTGGGCAGGCGAACCTCGAGGCTGAGTGATGGTGGGCTTAGGAGGCGCAATGGGAAGCACGAGGCTGGATTGCAGAGCCCGTAGAATGGGCACCAGGGTCAGGAAACGATGAGGCTGGATGGTGGCACCCCTGGGATGGGCACTGGGGCAGGCAGAAGCCCAGGCTGGATGGTGGCATCCCTGGGACAGGAGGTATCATGCTGGATCGCTGGCTCTGGGGACGGGCACTGGGGTAAGGGAAGGATGAGGCTGGAGGGATGGTGGGGGCCGTGGGACAGGCACTGGGGCAGGCAGAAGCCCAGGCTGGATGGTGGCATCCCTGGGACAGGAGGTATCATGCTGGATCACTGGCTCTGGGGACGGGCACTGGGGTAAGGGAAGGATGAGGCTGGAGGGATGGTGGGGTCCGTGGGACAGGCACTGGGGCAGGGGAAGGACCAGGCTGGAGCTTCGAAGTGGGGCAGGGATCTCAGGAGGGGTGTCAGCCCCTTGGCCCGCTCCAGTGTGGCGGAGGGCACAGTGCTGTGGCCAGCCCCGCTGGTGCCTGTGCCCTCCGGGGCCGCGCCGGAGCATGCTGCGTTCCCCGCGGTGCGCGGCGTGGGTACCTGTGCCCAGGAAAAGCACCTCATAGCGCCCGTCTGCTGCATCCACCTGGTCCACGGCCACGGTGGTGAAGCGGTAGTTGACGT